GCTCCTCGAGTGCGATGGAGTCGGGCGTGTGGGTGGGTGGGCCTATAATGCGTGTCGATAATATTGGCAGGGTGTAATTTTGATTGTCACGGCCACTCCCCTAATCAAGAGTGCCTGTGGAACCTGTCGTGTGACTAATTGCTGCTTAACGACCAATCTGTCCAAGGAGCCTGGATCTCTGCCTGGACATTTGGGCAATTTTCAGGCACTGAATAAATACCAGAAGCTCTGATTGTCTCATACATTTTTGATGGGCTCTTTTCAGCTCAGTTCATAATCTAAGCACACCACAATCTGTATCATTTCTTTTGCTTCAGAGTTTAAAGCTACTAATCTGGGTTTTCTACCTTAAAGCTGGCTTAAAATTGTATGAAAAAATCCTGGTACTTAAGTTGCACGTTAAGTTAACATTGTTGAAACCAACTTGAGAACAACGCGCCTTTAAGCAACCTTTGTTGCCGGCCCACCCTGCTCCAAGTGGGATTAGGACTTGTTGTCTGCGGACCCCCAGTGCATTTTGCTGGGAATAAAATGCACAGACACCAAATTAATTTCCTGTGGTTGGCCCCAGTGGGGAAAGGCCACAATGGTCGGACAACGCTGCGTATGTGTAATGCGTCTCATGTTGCTACCTAGATGGGCAGCTCACCTGGGCCTTGGTGAACAATATACAGCAGGGGCGTAATTAAATTCACCCATTGTTGGTTGTCGGATCTTGGAGATAGAGCACTAGCCGTAGTCCGGGCTGAGCCAAACTAAGCCGATTGGGCGCCGTTTCAGTCGACTGCAACACTGCGAATACGCAACGAGTAGCTGAAATAATAGCATTAGCCGCCGCAGTAGCGGATTTTTATGCAACATTTTAATTAACTGAAAAGATAAATCTACTACAATTTAGGTCTTTCCTTTTCCTGTACTTTCTATTAGCCACGAAAGTTCTTATTGCCCGTCCCTTTATGCAATCCATGCCACCAATTGACAAACTTATTAAAAGTTTATCTTTATTCCACTGTTGGCGATACATCAATACATCATCCGAAACATGGTTCATTTGCCTGGGCGAAAAGAAAACTGCGAAAAGTCACAGAACATTAACTTGAACTATGACAAACTTTTGACTTTGACAAAGATGCCAGCAACCGAAAATCCACCCGGCATCGCATCATCTTTCTCCGAGGGACCGAGAGGAGCTGGAAACTGGGAGCTGGGAGCCGTTCCGCAGGCGGGCCCTTGCCAGCCAAAGTTTTTCAAAGCTATTTTTGACTGCGGTCAACTAAACACACACAAAGTAGATGGACCCAAAGGGCCCAGGGAAACAGGGAGGGGAAACCCCAAACAAAACTGTCGCCAAAGACGAACTTCATCTTGATGCGGTCGGATTCAATTAGATGTTGCCAGACCGAAACCGAAAAGGAAACCTTAACCGAGACCCAGGCTCAATTCAAAATTTAAAGTTGTTCTTGGGTGGCAAGGAGATTACGAGTAAAGGAAAACTCACGAATACCCTAACATGTCAAGCTATCGCTTGGTCCTAAATGAAAAGTAGCTGAAATTAAGGTAAACATTTTGAACCTGTAAATAAAATTTAATTTTTATAATGGAATTATTATTACTTGCATGTTAGATCTTTAATTTTGTTCTTACACCTAAAAAAAACTTGATATGATACGATGATCGATTTGATGTTATGTGGTATCCTTATTATTATGCTCGAAATGTAAACAACAGGCCAGTTCGAATTTCGAATGTAACTTGAAGTCGCCACATTGTTTCTTCCTTTCTTTTTCAAAGTGAGAAAAACTGCGAGAGAGATTTCGGTAAAAATTATAAGCCTATACCATATATATATTCTTTTTATGTGTAGAGATAATCTCTACACCCCTTTTTAGTAATTTCAATACTTAAAATTGAATCCCTTTTTTATTTTTTCTTATTTTATATTGTCAGTTTTATTCGATCAATATTATTCATTGATATTTTACAAACAAAATGCATAATATTTATTACTTTCCCAAAGTCAGTCTTTTTTAAAACTATGTACATACTGAAGGAAGGGCAGAGCCTCAGCACGTAGAAAATAAAAGTCAAGTCGGGTTTGATTAGAAGGCGTTTCTGGCTCCGTGAACCGGGACGTGGCCGCTGACTTAGACATCGGTCAGTTTAGTGTAGGAAGAGGAAAAAACGCCCAAATTACATCCTCGTCCGTGTGGCGTCGGCCACTGTGCATTTTGTATTTTGCATTTTGCATTTGGCACATTTGCATTTGCATGGCCGGTGCCACAAACTGGCCCGAGGCGACGTCATCGACATCGACATCGACATCGCCGTCGTGGAGCATTATTAAAGATGCATAGCTTGAAATATTCAATCAAGTCGACGGCTGTGTGGCGGTGGGTTCGGGGGTTCGGTGGTGCGGGGGCGGATATAGAGCCACAAAATTGGCAGCGCCATCGTCGGTGTGTTGATTTATGCAACATTGACGTTGACGCTGCAAAGTCACATTTGGCTGTTGGTCGAAAGCTGTTTGGGCCGGGCTCTAACTCGCCGGTCTGGTCTGGTCTGGTTCGGGCCACATAAGCAAATATTTTGTGGCTGCTATATTGTGTATGGCGCACACACACTCATGTGTCTATACATCCTGCAGGCATTCAATTATATTGCATGTTGTATGTTGTATGTTGCACAGGAGCCCAAGTCGAATGGCTATTTCCAGTCTCACGCCGCAAGGAGAAGGACTGCACCCAAAGACTTCACGAATGTCACCGAACGGCCAAGCTTACGAGTGTGTGTGCCCAAGTTAATTTGTTATTCAAATTTGTGTGTTATATATTGTTATTAGATCGAAAATTGTTGCTGCCCCTCGTTGAACCGACTGGTCAGGGCCAGTTCACTTGTTCTGGCCTACGGGCAGAGCAAAGGTTACGGCGACTTACGGACAGGGTCAATAGTTTCGGTTGGCATTGATGAGGTTCCTCGTCGGAGACCATTGATTCGATGGTTTCCGAGCTGAATTATTTATTACAGGACAGGGCTCTTCCTATTATTAAGCTGAGGATTTCGTTCAAGTCCTTGTGATATATCTAAATAAGTTATACGAAAGCATCAGCATTGAGCTTTACAAACATTAAAACACTGCTTTCCCGATACCGATTAGCCGCCTCTTTATTATCGTTAAATGGGATCTGCTCCGAAGTATAATTTATTTTCCTAGACAATTATTCATTTATATTTTCCTATCAGCAAACTATTAATACAGCTGAATATTAGTCAAGCATAAATTAAACGTAATTATGATATTTCTATCTTTATATGATTTGTATTTTATTTTGAATAACCCCCAATTAATGCTTATCTCCATTCGTATGCCAAGTATTTAAGGAACAATTGAACTCATTAATTAGCTCCTCAGGCCAGTGGAGCCCCAACTCCCCATTGTCCCATTCATTCACCTTGACACCTGGAGAAAAATGGAAACCCTAGAAAAGTGTAAGGGCCAACAACTATCGAGGATTAAGGCTTAACCGTCTGGTCAAGCGTCTGGCGGGTTTCTCCTTCCTCGGAACTGATTCATTGGGTTTGGTTTTGGGTCTGTTGGTTGTCTAGTCCGGTAAACCCCGGGGGAATATGCGACAACTAAGCGGATTAGTTTACTGACGTGCTGCTCAATGGGGAAACGGGCAAGGCAAATTGAAAATAGAAAGAAGTTGGAGCGAGGGACGTGCAAAGAAATCCAATCATAATTATAGAGTCCAACGCCTCGAGTCGAAGAAATTTACACAACAAAAGGTGGCCGCGACATTTTCAGCTGTCAGCATTAATTAAAATGTTTCCATACATCAACCTCGGCCGAGTTCTTACACCTTTTCGGGGACCCAATCGAAATATCAGCCAGAGCGGAAATGTCTTTGGAGAGCGGGAATCCGAAACACGACTAAGAGCCGACATGGCATAAAGATGTCAAAGCCCGAATGGGTTGGGGATGGGAAATATCTTGCAGATTGCATGTTTCTGGGAAATTTCAAATTTATTTCTGGCTCCGGGGCATTTGTCAATCCGATAATTTGTGGTTAATATTTGCCATATAATGTGAAAACAAATTATTAATAGGTGAAAATTGTGTTTTGTAGCTTGTGCATAATTAAAATAAAACACAAATACTTCTAAAAAATATTTAATTAAAATGGTTTTATGCGCTTTCACATAAACAATTCAAACAAAAACCGACTCTTAACGGACATTAAAGTTGCATTCCCGCAAAAGTGTTGGACCGAAAAACTTCTTGTGCATTTGTTCGGTGGGCGGATGGCGGAGTTCGTGTCAAGAGTTGGACAGGTTAAAGAACGAATCGAGACTCCTGTCAATAAATAATTGAAAATCAGAGCCGTCGGCAGAACGGTTGACTATTGTTTTTTGTCACCGTCTCTTTTCGGTGGTAATTAAAAAAGTTTTTTCCAGCTGAAAAATAGAAAGGCATTGCCAATGGACCAGGGCGTCGTTTTTTTTAGACCGACTAATTGTCATGCAGAGAAGTGGAAATGGCACGAGGAGCATTTTCCCTCGCTGACGTAATTAAAAAGCCGTCAAGCGAAGTTGGCGCAGTTAGCGCTAAATGTCCAATTGATGCACAGACTCCGGAGCTTAAGTACTGGCCCCTCATCCCGCCTGCAGCTCTCTCTAATTAAATAAGCCAGTGTCACATTTGTCTTGAGTGTCCGACAATTTGGTGACTTATGACGACTGCAGAGCAGGACGCGACGAAAGCCGGACCCGGACCCAATTTCGGACCCTGCACTCGCACAAAAGCATTGAGGAAGTTGTGCCGAAAGATTTATGAGGTAAAAGCAATTAGAAAGTGGCATTAACAACCGAATGCAGAGAGTAGGACGATTAATAACCACTACAAGCTGCAGACGCAGCTGAAAGTTGGGAAAGAGTTCGCTACATAATATGTACAGAAATGCCTTTAGTTACTAACGAATTGTGGAAAAGAAAATACCAGGTTTCAATGTAATATTCTTTAAATATTTTTATTGGCTTTAAAAGTTATATAACCTTTCATTCGAATACGTTGAATTTTTCCATTCAATTAGCACAAGGTTTTATCTCTAACTTCACCTTGTTTTGTTGCGGAATCGGATGACTCGATTTGCTTCAGAACTCCCGTCAATATCTCTACTTCATTTTTAATGGAATCTAAAAGTTTGCCAAAGTCACCACGAGCACCAAACGAAGGTAAATCTGCGAAAAATTAATATATTTAATTAAGTCATTACCGAAAATCATAAAGTAATTTTGTGATTCACCTCGTCGACGACTTAGAATCCGGTGGAGGTTGCTAATCGCATCTATTGTGCGTTCCTTTTCCATATAACTGTTGTTTATGGCATCCTTGGTATTGGCCAGGATCTTCTCCCACCTCAGACACTGGACCCTCGACTCGTTGTACGACCGTTCCAGCCTGGCCAGATCATTTTTAAGGCCCAGCACTGACAGAGCCGCCTCATTGGTAATCTGCACCATACGCTGCCGCATACTTTCAATCTCGACCAGTTTTTGATGCTCCAGCTTGTTGATCTCCACTTGAGCCAGCACTGCATTGACGATTTCAATTAAATAGTTTTAAATTAATCCTTCCTTGTACGATCCGACTGGTTCCGACTTATTTACTACTTCCTACTTGACGATAGCTTAAAAGGTGAGAGACTAGGACAGACAGACGGGCGGACATACGGACATCGTTAAATCGACTCGTGTAATGATGGTGATCAAGAACACATGTATTTTATACGGTTGTTCACCCCCACACCAATATAAACTTCTGTCTAAAATCATTAATTCCTTTTCAAGGGTATAATGACACTAACCTACGCTGAGGATGAACACCCTGGAATAACACTTACTTAGGGCATCGCAGCGATCGATGCAGTCCTTCGGCGATACGAATATGTCGGACACCTTTACCACCTCGTCGAGCACCTTCTCGTAGGGCTGGAACTCCTGGACGGTGGCCTTGAGAGCCTCCCGAAAGGCCTTGAGCTCGCCGATCGAGCCCATGAAGCTCTCAATGCCCTCGCCGAGTTCCTTGTGGTAGAGCGTCTCTCCCTGGGCGGTCTTCTCGGCGATCCGCTTCTTGTCCGCGCAATCCTTGATGAAGCTGTTCACCTCGATGAAGCGCCGCCTCAGCCGCTCCTGGATCTTGTACATGTTTCGCTCCCTGGAGGTGTTCAGCTTGGACTGCCGCTTGGCGCTGGTCAACATCTCGTCCTGCAACTTCAGCATAGCGTCGTGCTCGCGGAGATTGTTGACGTAAATCAATTCGATGGAGTCGCCGGCAGAATCCGAGTTTGGAGGAATCCTACATAAAAAATTTTAATTTAATATTCCTCTTCCGATTTTCCTAACACGATGATTGCAATTAAATTGGAAATATATTGCAGCCAATTTAAAGGACCTGAAAAGGACTTCACTACTCACACAAAGAACTTGTTTTGCTGCTTCGAGCTGATGTAGTCGCCCACGGCATCCTCGGGCCGCAGGTCCAGATTCCCCAGGACATCGAGCTTCTTGGTGGGCTTCACGCGCGGCATCTTGGATCCCTTGACCGATAACAAAAGCTTCAAGTGTAAGTGAGGTTTAGTTTTTTTTCTTTTTTGTTTGGTTACCGCGACACTGCGGTGTGTGCTTTCTGTAGCTGCGTGTGCTGTGTGTTTACTTTTCGGATTGTGTTATTATTAATAAAAATTAACAAGACCTACTTGGAACATGATTTTTATTTGGGTGACATAAAAATAACTTTGGTTGCCAGGAGGTTCTCCAATTGCCTTGGTAATGGTTGTCTAGGAGGGTAAAATCCATTGGGCGTCATAGAAACTGTTGCATTTTGTTCATTTAATAAAAGTGCCTATTGAATTACCCTATTTTTAAGGAATATCGCTCTTCAGATATGAGATTATAAATGAGTAATTCTATCGCACTGACTTTGCTGTCCTCTTTCAGACTTTCAGTATAACCAGCATACCATTCAACACAACATTGTCCAACAGATATTCCTAAATATATACCTAAAAATATTTGAAAACGATTATATTTTGAAAAGTAAACATGCCGCGCCGCAAGCCCACCGAAAAGACCGATATGATCGGCGATTTGGACCTCAACCCCGAGGTGGCCATCGATGATTATCGCGTTTCTCGCCAGCAGGATCAGTTCTTTGTGTAAGCATTAGGCTATAGGTTTAATGAAATCTTAAAACTTATCATCTGTGACTGCCACAGAAAACCCCCCAATTGGGATTCTGCTGGCGATACAATTGAAATGCTGTATATAGCCAATCTAAGGGAATACGATGCCATGAAGCAGGTTCAGACCCAACTTCTGAAAGATGCCAAGCGCCAGACGGCAATAAATGTGCAGCGCATCCGAAAGATGTATAAAATTCAGGAGCGCCTGCGCAAACGCTTCGTCGAAGTCAACGGGTTCATCAAAGATTGTGCGGACAAGAAGCGCAGTGCCGACAAGTCGATTCGTGAGGAAACTGTTTTGCATGAGGAGGTCACCAAGGAGATAGACGAGTTCAAGACTTCCGTTGCCGAGCTGGGCACCTTTCGCAACGCCCTCAAGGCCACGGTCGATCAATTTCAGCCCTACGAACGGGTCCTGGAGGAGGTAGTCAAGGTATCCGACATCTTCGTCTCGACGAAGGACTGCATCGATCGATGCGATGCATTAAGTGGGTTCTAGTTTTAAGAGTTTTAACAAGTCTAATTGCACATCCCCTTTGCAGTGCTTGCCCAGGTGGAGATCAATAAGCTGGAGAGCCAGAAACTCAACGAGATCGAAGAGATGCGCCAGCGAATGGTTCAAATCACCAGCGAGGCGGCTTTGACTGTCCTGGGTCTCAAAAACGACTTGGCACGACTAGACCGATCGTATGTCAATTCTCGAGCCACTTGCCTCAAATGGGAGAAGATATTGAGTACATGCAAGGACGCCACATCCCATTACAACCTCGATAAGGAGCGCATGTTCGATGGCATACAGATTCTGTACCGAATGCTCTGCAAGCGCCGCGGTGAGTCCTTCAAGCCCTTCGACCTATTAGTACCTTGTAACAACCTCTTCTTTATAGACATTGTACCCAGCTATCACAGCTACGAGATCGATAACATCATGACCTTCGTCATGCGTGAAATAAGTCTTCTTTCTTCGGTCCTCCAGGAATTGGACGCCAACAAGGGCGATAAGGTCGGAGCAGGAAGTCTCTGCTAGCTGGAACTGTGATCATTTTTAGCGGTTCATGAATAAAAATATTGTTTTAGATGCTTTAAGCTATGGAAAATAATTTGTAATGGGAAAAGGAAATGGTTTTGTATTTTTTTAATCAAGTATACTAAAAATGTTTGAATCATTTTTAATCATTATTATATAAAAATCACTTATCAACATTGAAGCTTCAGAGGTAATTTAGAATTAATTATAAAAAGTTCTACAAATTTGGTAAAACAGAACTAAGAAAGGGTTAAGAAACTTAAACAAAGCGAACGACTTGATTTACGTGCTCCACACTGTATAGGCCTTATCAGACACCAAGAGTCCTCACATCCGCACTGAGTGGCTCCATCCTTAACAACTTAAATGGGCAACCCCCTCCCATTTTGTGCTTTATGGCTGCCATAACAGTTGTCTAACCCTAAAACCTTGACAGCCCCCAAAAACCCACAGTATTCGGTTGGGCATTGTTGTTGCCTAAGCCCAAAAGAAAATCAAATGAAATTCGATAAAAAGAAAATGCATTCGAAGACACGAGATACTGGGGCTGGGCAACTTTCAAGTGGCACTCGAACTTCAAATCAGAGAAGGGAGCTAACCGATGGGCAGGAAAATAAAGTTGGCAAATCGAATCTGCGACATCTTTCCATTCAATTGCCAATTGGATTCTATGGCCCAGGGATAATCTAACTTAAGCACAGATAATTCTTTTATGCGAACATTTTGATTTCTGTCCTCGCATTTACAACAACGTTGGCCGAATAGAACTAGCAACTAATTTTTGTAGCAAAGAACCGTTGCCACGCCTCCTACGCCCACCCCGGATACGAAGTTCAGTCGGCAGTCGCCAGCGGAGGCGTGGCACTTGTCTCTTATTCAATTTGCTTTATTTGATTTGCGATTTTTGCTGATATCAGCTGGAAAAGAAACTGCCAGGACTCCCGCCAGGACACTCGCTGCTAAACCTAGGCTAAAAATCAAATCAAATGGAAAGCAAAATAAAATGCAGGGACATTTATTTTGAGGAAGAAAAAAGTGGAAAAGCTGGAGCAAAAGAAATCAAACTAGATGGGTAAAAACAAACATTTGGTTTATTTAAATGGACCGTATGGACGTCCCACAAGTTGTCCTGGCCCAAGGCGGCTTTTTCTACATTTCGAATTCGGCTTTTGAGGACCTCCAGCCTCTGCGATAGCAATTACATTAGATTGCTCATCGGAATGGGGCTGCCTCTTAGGCAAATCGTGTAAACACTCAAGATTTGTTGCCTGTCATTTAAATAATTGAAAAATGCATTCCATTCTCGTTTTGATTTCAGTTATTTCGCAGGGGCACAAGATTGAAGTGCTCTGGCATGAACATGAATCTTTTAGAGAAATGAACAGCTATCTCCGAATTCATTCACCAGAGCTAGAGCTCCCATTTCATTGTGTCCCGTCCGTATGAACAATAAAGCCTAATGGCATTCTCAGCTAATCCCTTAATTGCATTACAATTAACTGTCTGCGAATTAAATAATATTGCCAGCAATGCGGTGTAGGTGAAACGAGGCCACGCAAATTGCGTGGGTGGTTTGAGCATTTGGGAATGTTTTAGTGTTTTAATGGGGCTTTGTAATGGATGCCTACAGCTTTTGGTATAAATTGTTTTCAACTGTCAAAATAAATTAGGCGCTTAGAGTTTTAGAATATTAAATGAAATAGAATGCTAAGTCTATTTTAGTTGAAAACATATCTATTTAATAATAAGACAAAACGCTCTAGTCAGTTACCCGACAATTAGATACCCGTTACTCAGATTAATGATCTGCGAGGGGGATGGAGATAAGCATGGATAAATTCCATTACTTGCTCATAACATTTTGATAAATTGTCCGATCTGAAAACTTTCTTCTACATTTCAAAAGGTATTAAGAAACACAACAAAATTGCATTTTAATCTACGAGAAACGGGTATAAAAAAATGAATATGTTGTAGTAAAATATTTAAGTTTTAATACAGATAAATTAAAATATTTTTTTACAAGAAAGAGTTGATATATAATATGTGTATACCTATTCGAACTGAAAACTACTTGCCACCTCCGCAATTATCCTTTTCGAAAGTTGCCTTGCGTCTTGCCGCTTTTGCTGCCATTTGCTTTTTTCCTGCTTACTAGACGAAACACTTAATTTAACTTTACAAGTTCTTAATGTGACGGCCAGACAGAAAAGTTGGGCGACGGCAGGACGAAAAGGGCTGCCCACTTGTATGGGACACTGGCGACAAATAGCAATTAGAGAAACAATGCCCGGCAAAACGAGTGCAAAGCCAAAAGGCGGCAGACAAAATAGGCGCAATTAAAGGACACTTTGCGAAGACGACTTGAAGTCTGAAGTCGGTTTAAAGTTGTATCCCCCGCATCCAGGCGGCAACTGCAATAAATGTCAAGCGATTATACCGGCAACAAAGGCAGGCTCAGGCTCAACAATCAGAAGAGCAACCAGAAGCCAGGAGGCGGCTTGATTAATACTATAACACATGATTTATTATGCCTGTCAATCGGCGGAGGGGAAGCCCATTATGAAAGCTCGCTTCAGAGATTGAAATCGGAATCGTCGGGTGTCGTAGATGGAGTTGGCTTTACTGGCGGAGTCGTCGCAGGCATTGCCTGTGATAAGATGGCAAATCGGCTTATGCCCTGGGACAACAACAATCGGCATCATCAATTCACTTGGCGACATTAATATCCTCCCGGCAAAAGGGACGAGATCCAAAAGCTGTCGTCTGACATTTGTGACACCTGCATTGATTTGTCTTCCTTTTTTGTACCCCATACCCAGTTGCCAGGCAATTCAAGGGTATGCTGGACTTGAAATTGAAAGCAATAGGCGAGGGCAACATAATTTATTATCTTTTTCAATGCCTAACAATCTAAAAAAAAAATCATCAAATCAATCAAAAAAAATTGATATGAAACAAAGATCAATTTGATATAATGTGGTATACATTTTCACATGCGGGCACCTCAATTCGATATGTTCGAAATGTAAACAACATGTTCTAAGTAGTCTTTCTTTCTCCCACTTATGTTAACTTAATTCCCGCCCTATTTCGGGTCCACACTTTTTGAAAGTCACAGAATCACCGAGAGAGAGAAATCGGCAGAATAATATTATTTAATATAAATTTTACAAGAATTGCACGATATCTATTAATATTATTTTTAACAAACTTACATTCTAAACTAAACTAACTATTTTAAATATTTCAGATTAAATTCCTTTAAATTATAACGTTTATTTCCCATATTTAACTAGACCTATTAAAGGTGCATCTAGACTATTAAAGGTGCATCTAGTTTAGAGGGTATCAGGGCTCCGTAATTCTTGTTCTCTTGGCTTTATTGTGTCATTGGACTTGGTGGGCGGAGATGAATACCACCTGCCGCCCCCAACTCGCTTGACTGAGTACCTTTCATGTCTTACAAATGCCTTTTTTATGCGCTAATGTTGCTGCGGCTTCTGGCAACTTTAAGTTACCGGGGCACCACCCATCCTCCCACCCAGCGACCCACCACCCCCTCAATGAGAGCCATTAGTGCCGGGTTCTAATGGCCCGACGACAAGGAGCTGCAATTAGAGCACACTCAAACTGGGAAGTCAACTACCCGAAAGAGATGAGGCCGTAGGACTTTTCCTACCTCGCATAGTTGATAATTTATTCATTTGCCGGCTGGAACGACAACATTTATGGACCTCTGTGTTTGCCGAAAGCTAACCACACACATGCCAAGACGAAGGACCTGAGAAGTGCGCAGCAACCCTTAATGGCTTCATTAGAGATCCGCCGGCTGAGATGCCAAGGACAGCATCCCCGAATCGAATCGTATTGAAAATTTTTAATTTCATTCGACTGGGCGTCAAAATCAACGGCTTAAATAGTTGTGCAAAATATGTGTTAAACATCTGCGGGATTGTTCCTTAAGTCCCGAAGTAAACCCCATTGTTATCAGACCCTTGCTTAAGCCCTAACAATTTTCCAGCCCATTGTTCGATTTTAAAGACTCTCGGCACAACTGTTGGGAAATTGAAAACGGATGCGGAATTGGAATTGTAAATTTTACACTTATCCAAGCGGCATTTGTTCGCTTTTTATTGAGCCGAATTGTGCTCGGCATATGTCCGTGTGTGATTCTGATTGTGTGCCCTCTGCTCCTTGATTACAATTTGCATAAAAATATCGTTCGGATTGCGGGCCCCGAGAATTATGTTGCACATTTATGGGCCCCGAATCGAGCCTTAAAGGAAGCGAGCTCTTGTCTTTTATCGTTTTCCTTTGTTATCCGGACGAAGGAGTTGGGGACTACGAAGTAGTCACTTCCAAAGGGTTTAAGACGGATGACAGCTGAAATTTATTACGCCTAATGATTGTCAGATGTGGGTTAGTCTGTTCCAACCACCAGTTGGGATAAGGCCAATTTTATTTACAACGCAAGATGTAAAGAATATTTTATTCACTTTTTCAGTTGGTGGAAAAAACGATTAATATCCTAAGTAAATTCCCTTTTTATCTCACTTATGAGGGACTACAAACTTTTTAAAAATATTCAAAATTTTAAAAGATACACATATGTATACCTTTAAAAGCATTGAAAAAGCCGTATAAATAATTCTTGTTTAGGAAACTTTCACAAGCGCAGAGTTTTAAAGTCAACACTTTAACTCATATCCAAAGTAAAATTCTTACTCAACCAAAAATACCTGTTCATCCTGCTTCCATTTACCGTAAGTCTGGGTCGTGTCAGAGCTACAATCTTCCTAGACAGAAGCGTACTCCCACCAAGCGCCACTCCAAGCAAACCAGGTCTCCAAGGCTGCCATCCCACCCCTCATCCAATTCGTGGCGTGTAAATATTTATAAATATTGACAGCTTAAAGTGAAGTTTATAAGTGACACGAGGCAGACGTGGCACCCCTGCACCAGCAGGAAAAAGGAAGCTTTTTAGGTAACATCAACAACAACACTTGTGGTCAAACTTGAAAGCCTCTTTGATGGTTTTGCTCCTCCCGAATCCCAG